AAGGAGAAAAGTGTTATAGGGGGTGCCTGGGGGGCTACTTTGGAGTCCCTGAGTAGTGAAAACCATTAAGCTCTCAACTATTAACCGAAAGATGGGTGGTGTGAACCCACCCAGAGGCATCCTGGAAGAAAGTCCCAGCGATCCGATTCTGAAAAGTCAGCCATTGAAAACACCTATGGAGCACAGTTCCACTCGGAGACACATGGAGTTGCATGAGTTGGAATTAACTCAATGGCAACTGGTTGCAGGCTACTTTAGATTGGGTGGTCAGGAAAGGCCACATTTAGGATATTGACTTGGGAAGGAGCCAGCCATATGAAAGTCTGGAATTGTAATCTTCCTAGAAGAGGCATCAGCTAGGGCAAAGGTCTTAGGGTGAGATGGGAATGGCTTGCTCAAGAAAGACCTAGGAGACCAGGATGAGTGAAGTCCCATGACCAAGGAGGGGAGAGATGGGAGCTGAAGTTGAGAAGACAAATGGGGACGAGATCACGTAAAGCCTTTGGAATGCGATAGGGCTTTTCAATTTTATTTTGCAAAAAAAAAAAAAAAAAAAAAAGTGCAAAGTCCTTGGGGGGATATTATGTAGGTGCATGCTATGATTCAATTTGTATTTTTAAACCATCTACCTGGCTATTGGAAACCCTAGTGGTGTAGTGGTTAAGAGCTGCAGATGCTAACCAAAGGTCGGCAGTTTGAATCCACCAGGCTCTCCTTGGAAACCCTGTGGGGCAATTCTGCTCTGTCCTATAGGGTCGTTATGAGTCAGAATCAACCTGACGGCTATGGGTTGGGTTTTTGTTTTACCTGGCTATTGTGTGGAAGATGAATTACTGAGGTCCAACTGGGAGCTGGAAGCTCCAGTCAGAAGGTTAGTGCAGTAATCAGGTAAGAGACAACAGTGTCTTGGATTTGCATGGTAGCAGCGAAGATGGCGAGAAGTGGATGGATTTGGAATTGTGTCTTAGTCATCTAGTGCTGCTATAACAGAAATACCGCAAGTAGATGGCTTTCACAAAGAGAAATGTATTTTCTCACAGTCTAGTAGGCTAGAAGTCCAAATTCAGGCCATCAGCTCCAGGGGAAGGCTTTTTCTCTCTGTTGGCCTTCTCATCAGTGTTCCCCAAACTAGGAGCTTCTCTGCGCAGGAATCTTGGGTCCAAAGGACGTGCTCTGCTCCTGGTGCTTATTTCTTGGTAGTATGAAGTTCCCAATTCTCTGCTTGCTTTCTTTTCCTTTTATCTCTTGTAAGGTAAAAGGTGGTGCAGGCCACACCCTAGGGGAACTCCCTTTACACTGGATCAGGGATGTGCCCTGGGTAAGGGTGGTGTTACAATCCCACCCTAATCCTCTTTAACATAAAATTACAATCATAAAATGGAGGACAACCACACAGTTCTGGGAATTGTGGCCCAGCCAAACTGATACACACACTTTTTGGGGGACATAATTCAAACCATGACAGATAGCTTCTGGAGGTAGAGCCAACAGGAATCACTGATAAACTAAATGTGATGTGGGGGGTCAGTGCGAAGGCAGGATCAAGATGAATAAAAGCTAACATTCATTGAGGGGGCAGTGGTGGTTCAGTGGTAGAATTCTTGCTTTCCATGCAGAAAGGACCCGGGTTTGATTCCTGGCCAATGCACCTCATTCACAGTTACCACTGGTCTGTCAGAAGAGGCTTGCATGTTGCTGAACAGGTTTCAATGGAGCTTCTAGACTAAGACAGACTAGGAAGAAAGGTCTGGCAATCTACTTCAGAAAACCAGCCAGTGAGAACCCTATCGACCACAATGGGCTGATCTGCAGCTCATCATGGGGATGGAGCAGGGCTGGGCAGCGATTTGTTCCATTGTGAGTGGGTCACCATGATTCAGGGACTGACTCAAGGGTAGGCTTCTCCTGGCTGCATCTTCTTATCCTTCACTCAGGCAGGCAGTGAGCTGGAGAGCACAGCATTCATTGAGAGTATTCTGGAAGGTGCTTTTCTAAGAACTTTACAAGTATTATTAGCACATTTAGTCCTACAACCACTATGTGAGGTAGATGCTATTGCAGTAACAATTCTGTACATGAGAAACCAGTCCACAGAGAGGTGCCTCTTCATTTTCCCATGATTATGTACCTGGGAAAGGACAGAGCTGGGACATGGACACAAGGATTCTGGCTTCAGAACTCATGTTTTTTCTTTCTTTTTTTTTTAGAGCCCATGTTCTTAACTTTTTGATACTGAGTTTTTTGGCTTGTGCAGTTGGGTGGATGGTGCTGATAACTACTGAGATATGGAAGCCTGGGAGAGGAACTGGCTTTATTTGGGAAAATCAAGAATACTGTTTGGTCACGTTAATTTTGAAATACCTGTTAGGATCCCAGATGATACTGTGTGTGTGTGTGTGTGTGTGTGTGTGTGTGTGAATGTAAGTATGTGGTTAAGGAAGATCACAATTTGATTCATTTGCCCTCTAGATTTCATACTAAGGAAAAATGAAAATAATGATGTAAGGAGTGTGTGGTTATTTATAACACCATGCATCTGCAGAGCGCTTCTTCATTCTATTGTTTCATTCTCTCAGTAACACTCTGTGAAAGGAGTTTTAACTATTATTTGGCAGATGAGCAAACTAAACCGGAGCCATGACCAAGACCCCATAGTAAGATCTTAACTGAGCTTGAAGTGGTGCTCAATCCTAACCCAGGTGTCCCCCTTCTAGCTGAGTTAGGCTTCTCCTGGTTGCGTCTTTTCCCCCTCCACTCAGGTAGGCAATGAGCAGGACAGTGTTAGGCAGGGGAGGGAAGATTGTCTTTCCTTTTTCTGGAAGACGTCTTGGAGGGCACATGCGTGATATAGTTTCTGCCTTGAGCTATACACCACCCTACCACTCTGGATCAGTAAGGGTCTGGGCAGCATCTCTGCCACGCTTTGGAATGAATTCACCTTCTGAGATTGAGAAAGAACACATGCTCCGAAAGCAGAGGGTGAGGCAGGAACTGGATTGGGGCGTAATGTGGTAAAAGAGGGCTAGATGTGGTACAGGAGGGAGGCTATGGGGCCCTCACAGCTCCAGGGTCCAAGAAGGGAGAGGCTGGCCTCCACCTGCCTGCGTACCCAATCTCCGCATCCTTCCTGCCAGAGACAGACAGCCTTGATAGGCAATGCCTGGGCCCTGGTAGTGAACAAGCCTGATGAGGTCCCTGTTTTGGGTGCTTATGTTCTAGATGAGGGAGACAGAAGATACGCCAGTACTCAAATAGATTAGCAAGCCACCTTCAGTTCTATGCAGAAAATAAAAGAAGAGATAAAAAAGGGAGGGCCTGGGGGCTGCTTTAGATTGAGCAGTCAGGACAACGTCATAGTCAGTGAACAAACATCTTTAAAGGAGTATTTCCCTGGCTGAACTGCACCAGGGAGAGGGGCTGTGGGTATGAGCAGAGCAGGCAGCACTGACCGAGGTCCAGACTCCCTCGCTATAGGAGTTCCTCTACTGCTCTCCAGACCCAGGCCAACAAGGTGGACCTGTCCTCCACGCCCACCAACAAAGGCAGCGTTATCCCCGAATGCTTCCCACCACGTGCCTGGGTGCCCAGCAGGGGCTGGATCTCTGCAGCCTTGCATGGAATTTCTGCAGCTTCCTACGAGTTGCACCTACACCCTCATTAAAGCCCCCAGGAAGCCCTGAGACATTTGATGGTGAGCGTCCGAACACATTCCTTTCCTTAGAAGAGACGGCCACACAAACGTCCCAGCTTGGCCCATACAAACGGCCCACAGAGGCCTGGCTTAGGACAGACGTGTGGGATGCTCTTTGGGGGGCAGATGGGTGAAATGTCACCCTCAGAGGAGGCCCGTCAAGGGGACATGTGGGGAAAAGCGTCCTGGTCACATGACGTTAGTCCTGATGGGACACACAGAAGTGCCTTGTTCCTTTGTCCTGTGGTTTTTCAATGTGCTCTGAAGAAGTTAGGTCATTGATTCCCAACTTAAGCATGTGTCAGATCACCTGTGGGGCTTGTTAAAACACGGAGTGCTGGGCCCCAGTTCCAGAGCATCTGCTTCAGGAGGTCTGGGGTGGGGCCTTAGAACGCGCATTTCTAACAAGTTCCCAGGTGATGCTGGCATTCCTGGTCTAGGGATCACACTTTGAGAACCACTGAGTTACATAATCTCCTGATACAAACCAAACAAAACCAATTGCCATCAAGTCGACTCTGACTCATGGCAATCCCAAGTGTGTCAGAGTAGAACTGCACTCCACAGAGTTTTCAATGGCTGTGATCATTTGGAAATAGGTTGCCAGGTCTTTCTTCCAAAGTGCCTCTGAGCAGATTTGAACTGCCAACCTTTTGGTTAACAGCTGAGTGCTTATGGTTTGTGCCACCCAGGAACGCCAGTCTCCTGATAGTCAGTTCGTTATTTTAGGGAATCTTTGGCACAGAGAGGCAATGTGATGCCACAGAAAGAGTCTAGGCTTTGGAGTCAGGGCGATCTTGATTAGCATCCTGGCTGGAGAACCTGCTGTATGACCTAGGGGAAGTTGCTTGACTTGGCTGAGTCAGTGATTGCCCACCCAGCATGGCACAGAGTGGGTGCTCAGTGAATGTTTTATGGTAACTTTCTTCACCTGCAAACAAGTAAGATAATATTTACTTAACCGGATCGATGGTGGGACGTGTGAGATGACATTTACGTAAAGCTCCTAGTAGTGGACCAGGCACTTGGTAGGCACTCAGTGGTGTTCCTTACCTTCCTGCCCTCCAGTCCCTTCTGGGTTGCCCAAGGAATGCAGCAGCAGGCTGGGGCTGGAACAGGGAGCCCTGCCGTGACTCTGTGGGCTGGGCTGGCCCCCTGGGTGTTCTCTGCTGGTCCAGCAGATGGTGGACTTTGCTCTGAGGCTGAGCTTCCCAGCACTGGCAGCCCCTTTTTTGGACCAAGCTTCTTCACATGGAGCAGTCAGATGGCTCAGGTCGGGAGCTCTTGAGCAAACCCGTGCCAGATTGGACACATTTGCCCTGAGTCACCTGTCCAGAGCAGGAGGTGAAGGCGGTGTTCAATTCACAGCATCCCAACCACCGGAGCCTGGCTTCTGACTCGGAGAGCAGCCTCTCTATATGAGAAAGGGGCGTCCACTGCTCATTTTTCACTGGTTCGGACCCAGGCCTGGGCCACAGGCTGTCCTGGAATAAATGGTGCTGTGGCCCCTGCTGGGCAGCTGCAGAGAGAAGCCAGGGACGTGGCGGCCTGGGAGGCTGTGTGCAGGGAGGCAGGTGGGCGCCAGGTGAGTGAAAGTCCCTTGGACAGGCAGTTCTGAGGCAGGAGGCAGGACTCTGGCTAGAACGGGGGAGGTCTTGGTTGCTAAAACTTAATTGCATACTTGGTAGCTGTGCTGGGCTTGGGACAGGAGCAGACTCCAGGATCACTTCGGTAGGAATCCCAGGGCCACCACATTGCATGGTGAGATGTGGGAGGCTGGGGTGGGGTGAGGGTGTCACTTGTGCTTGCTCTGTAATTCAGGCAGCATCTGGTTCTGGGATTTCTGACTTATCAGCTTTCCCCCTATCCTTGGTACTGGGATGTGGAGGAGATGGGAGAAAGGAAGGGAGACGGAGGGGGGAAGGCAGTGGAAGCCCTGAGGAGGAGGCTGTTCCCGCCTCTCTGAACGCCCAGGCCAGTCCCTTTCTCTCCAGGGACAGTGACAACCTATGACAGTGGGGAGCGAGTTCTTTCCGTCCATCAGCCACTCAACTCATTGTAGACGAGGTTCCCACTACTAATTCCGGCTTTGGTTCAGTTTGAGTGGGCATTCTTTTGGTTGATAAAAGTGTTTGCTTTCTGCTGCTGGGAATGAGGTAACTGGCCGGATCTGTCACTGCCCAAGGGCACGGGAAGGTCAGCTCCGTCTTTGTCAGGTGGATTGGGCTGTTTCAGGCTGAGCCACATGCTCCTTTGTCCCAGGAGCCCACTTCCAGGCCTCCACGCAGCGTTCCCATACCAGCCTCAGAGTTGCTTTTCTGTGGCTCCGGTGTCCATCTCTCTGGGAAGGAGAGGCCTGCTAGGCATTTTCCCTCTTCCCCTTCTTTTGTGTCCTGCAGTTAGGTGGCGGTCAGCATCCGTGACCACACTGGAGGGCAGCTCCCCTCCTCCCGATACGATGAGGCGTGCGCTGTCAGCGTGGCTCAGGCCCTTCCTTGAAGCCCCTGCTGCTCTGTTATTCAGCCCCCAGTGATGCTCGAGACGTAGGTCTCAAGGAGGAATTAATCACTTCAGACCACTCCTGTGCAGAGGCTTGGGGGGCGGGGGGAGGCAGAGGATGCGGGGGGAATTACTCCAAGGGGGCGCCAGACGAGGCACAGAATTACATTCTGGGACTTCAAAATATGAAAGGCGCCTACCCCAAGAGTATGGCCCCTAGACACCCTTTTAGCTCAGTGGTGAAGTTACCTCCGAGGCTCACCGTTCAGCCTGGGAATGGACAGCCCCGTAAAACCAAATGAGACTAACGAGGTACAGGAGTCCAGTGACAAGGGCCAGAAGGCA